ATGAGCTATTAGCTTAGACTACTGTTGTTCTAAAGAACTACACGCATTATGTGCGAAGAAGAATACAGGCGTCTAACCACTCTTTAACCCACGAAAGTTCTACGTAACTGTCAAGCGCAACGTGCGAAAGGGTGGAAGTCTACGGACTTCTGCTCAAAATGAGATCTGAATTTATTTATATTTTATGTCAGGGAAAATCCTACTTTAAGCACCCTATGTTAAACTAAACTAGAACTAATGCAAATATCAGTATTCGAACTAAATGGATAGTTGGCACATCACTCAGTTATCAAATGATGACGGTACATAGTACTTCCACGGTAAGTACCGTAACTCAGAGAATACCGACTAATCGGTATTCTCTGTTGACATAAAATCTAAGGCCACACTTGTCTCTCATATCACATATGGGAGGTCTTCAAGCAATTTAGCCGATGGCTAGTGTGACCCCGTCACAGGGTGTGTATTTACAGATTCGTGTGTGCATATAAGATTGGGGAGTGCACTCTGAAACTAGCCCTTTACATAAGTAATCCAGTTCGGAGAACTGCATCAAGACACATAACACTATTCAATAACAGTAGCATTCACTGTAGAAGAATTATGGTGCTGCTCATGTATTTCTGAATACAGCCCTGCAGGCAGTGACGACGCGATCGGCGTTTACTTATGAGAGGTCAGCATTTGCATATATGACTATATCCACCGTGGATCAGTTCTAAGCCATGACACACCCGTGGCTTGCAGAGGGGTGATCGGTCCGCGAGCCTTGCTTGAGAGGGTCTTGCGGAGTCAAAGGTAAAATTGAGAATGTATTTAATACCACGTTAGCCTACCGTGCCTACCTGAATGCTTCATCTAATTCCATCTATCCATCAACCATCCATCAATCCATCCATCCGATTGTTCTTCGCTTAGTCGTAGCTTGGTCGTGGAGTAGGATCCATCCATCATTAACCAGTGTATGAGGCAGTTATGTCATACTCCCCCCATGAAGCAATTACACTAGCACGGGAAGATGCGACGAATCGATAGCCGTTGCGTCGTCGCGCGTTTGTCAATAGTGACAGTTCCATTTTCATGCACAATGCTAATGGGGTAGGGCCCATCTACCACTTCCTTAGTCTTTGCGCGAAACTGTTTAGGTCTTCGAATCATTATGTGGTCGCCGTGATGGTAAAAGTGCACTAGCCGTTTGGTGTTTTCGCGTGTGTTGTCAGCTAGGATAGCCCGAAACCGCCGATTTGACAGGTAACTCCAATTTGCCTCGTGCAGTTGGCGTGAAATTATGTCTTGTTCAAAAATGAGTTGTCCCGGAAATGCATTGAGTATGCTATGATAGCTCGCACGCACTGCAAAAGCAGCGTAATGAATGACCTTCTTCCAATCTGCGCCTGTGTGACAACGGATGACGTTCAATATTTCCAGATGCACACGCTCACAGATTGCATTCGCTTGCGGATTCTTTGCTGTGATTGGCTTTGATTTCAAACCGTAACTGCGCAGTAGTTCCTGGAATTCTTCTCCTGTAAACTCCAACCCTTGGTCATGGACAACTTGTCGTGGACGTGGGTAGCGGCAAAGCCACTCACGATCAAAACTTTCAGCCGTCGTCAGAGATTCTTTATTTGGCTGTACAGCAACTTCCAGCCACCGAGTAGCTTGATCAATCATGGTAATCCCGTAATAGCCGCCGTCGTATGGTCCGATAAGATCAACGTGTACAATATCGAATGGGTTGACGGTTCTATTGGTCCGTGGTGGTAGAAGTCCGTAGGCTTGTTTCCCTCCGTGTAACTTCGAGCGCTTGCACTTGATGCATTTGCGAACAAACTTGTATATCGTTGTTTCCATGTGCGGCCAGTAGAAGGTACTTTGCATCGTTTTATGTTGTCGATGACTTGCTGGATGGCCGAGATTTGTGTGGTACTAGTCTATCAGGTCATCACGAAGACTGTCAGGGACGATTACTCGGTGTTTGTAACCAACCATGGTACATCCCAAGAGAACCTGGAGCTGATAGTCGGGGTTGTTGGTACCGTCTAGACATGCTGCTTTGACCGATGCGATCATTTCATCATTCTCTTGGTGCTGGTAGATAACTGGACCATGCATTACGCACTCTGATGTCGTATTGAGCGTGTAGACTTCGTCGTTAATTGATGGACCTTTACTGTTCGCAAATCGCATGCGTGAGAAAGCATCTGCTCCGATGTTCTTCTCCCCTTTAATATAGGTCATTGTCAGGTGATACTCAGAGAGGAGTAACTTCCATCGCTTCACTCGAAGACTTGTCTCATTGGGGTAGATCAAGTTTTTGTGATCCGTATGGACCACGACGGGAAATCCAAGGAGCATCGTTCGGTATTCGCGTAACAGCTCAACGATCGAAAGGAGCTCAAGCTCCATGGTGGTATAGTTGATCTGGTGCTTGGTGAGACTGCGCGAGTAACATGCCACGACGCAGTGATCCATCTGGCTTGGAGACGAAAAACGCGGGTGATGCCATCTCCGCGTCATAAATTTGCACTAGAACGTCAGCACTGATAAGCCGCTGAATGGTCTCCTTGGCTTTGTTTTCCTGGCTGCGCGCGATGGGGTAGGCCTTCGCATGAACAGGCTTGTAATCCGGTTGGATAGGCAGCTCATTGTCGGGAAAGCGCATTCTTCCGAGATGTCCGTCGTAAAGCCTTTTGTACTCGACTAGTAATGCCAAGCATTTAGTCTTCATGTTAGGGTCAAGATGATGAGGCAGGAAAGTCTCTGGCTGGACTCCCGTTGTGGGTGTTTCCTTCATTTCGTCTTGAAACTCGAGGTCTTCGTTGTCCACCTTGGGTCTTTTCGCTTTCTCTTGCCCTGTGTTAAGCCGGAGCAAACAGTCGTCCCATTGCACCAGCCTGTCTTTAAAGTTCAAAACCAGGCCTAGTGCGTTCATGACATCTCTTCCAATAACCATGTTATCGCTGCTCGACTTGATCACTTCGAATTGGTGCGTGATGATTGTCTCTGGCTTTAAATGTGGGAAGAAGAACTGTGTCACCACCGTTCCATTGCTTGGTGCTGCGCCACGCATAGTGTCAAAGATAGTGGGTGATGTCGTAACATTCTGTCGACCCAGCTTCATAATACCAGCAAGTGTCGCACCATTGACATAACTCTTCGATGCTCCACTGTCGATCAGGGCTTCGATAGCATCTTGATTGCGATGCAGCTTGACCATGATGCGTAATGGTGCACTGGAGACTGTTCTGTCCTTTTTCACCAAACCAACGAACTTGAGCTCTTGTTCTTCCCCTGCCGCATCCGACTCTGACTCCGATTCGGAGTCAAGGTTATTGCTTCTTGAGATGCGGGGGTACTTCGGGTTCGGTGTGCGATGTTTGTGCGACCGTGCTTCGTTTTTCTTGTTCTCCTCCGATTGCTTTTTCTTCAAAGTATAACAGTCACTCGTATTGTGCGAAGCTGTCTTGTGGAACGAACACCAAGTGTCACGTTTGTGATATTTGTCTCTTTGACTGCGTGCCTTTTCCTCAGGCTCTTCTCGCCGGTTCTTCTGTCCTTCCCGTTGCCCGTGTACTCTGCGCTGATTCTTTCTCTGCGTGTTGCTGTATTCTTTAGTGTTTGGTTTCTTGTCACGGGTGATCGGCTGTCGCTCGTCTTTCTCGATCCGTGTGAAATAAAGGACAAGTTCATTGAGGTGGTCGAATACGACGCCTGCTGCAGACAACTTCTCTTGCCATGCTCGGGGCATTCCGCGCTTGAAGTAGCGACATTGCTGAACCTCCGGAATTTCTTCAGCATTCTGTGGCAGCTCAGCAAACAACCGAATGTTTTCTCTGAGTCGCTGCGAGAATTTGAGCACAGTCTCATCTCGTCGTTTCACCATTGTCCACAGTTCGTTGTCCAAGTCTTCACTGTAGTCGTGCGGGACAGATAGTAATCCCACATCCGTAAAGAACTGTTCAAAAGTCCTTCCGTGCTCAACTGCGTCTTGAGCTATCACTTCGACTTCCGTTGCGAGGTCGCCGTCAATAAGCACGACCATGTTGTGTGCCTTCTGCTCATCGGTCCACTGCTTCTTTCGGGCGAGGCGACGAAATTGGTTGCTCCAGCGAAGCCACTCACGTGGGGATCCTCCTGCGAACTTCTTGATCTTGATCGTCGCCGTATCTGCGGGGAAGTCGTCACTGGCGGGTGTTATCACCATGGTGTAGGTGACGTACTCGTCTTCATCTTGGCGTCCCATGCTGTTGACACCTTGTTTCCTTCTCCGATCTTGCACAGATTTGATATATCAAAATGACACACCCGTGGCTTGCAGAGGGGTGATCGGTCCGCGAGCCTTGCTTGAGAGGGTCTTGCGGAGTCAAAGGTAAAATTGAGAATGTATTTAATACCACGTTAGCCTACCGTGCCTACCTGAATGCTTCATCTAATTCCATCTATCCATCAACCATTCATCAATCCATCCATCCGATTGTTCTTCGCTTAGTCGTAGCTTGGTCGTGGAGTAGGATCCATCCATCATTAACCAGTGTATGAGGCAGTTATGTCAGCCAATCACGTGCGTGCATCACAATACATACATGCCAAAAAATGAGTTTCGAAATGTACATAAAATGCCTTTGAGGGGGCTAGGCTAGTTCGTGCTTGGTACGTAACAGTACAGCTGACCGCGTTATTTACAGACACAGACACACACCCACACACACGGACACACACAGATATGTACGATTCAGAAGTTTGGTATGCAACCTTGCGCACACTCACTCATAGCTTCACCCTTCGGGCTTGCAATCAACGTTTCCACGTGATGAATGGTGAACACAAATGCATGCTTTATGTCTAATCTAACGCAGAGGCATGGATGACGGGACCTCTCATAATGCAGCCTCCAAAACCATTCCGCAAATACACCCTGCCGAGTAATTCTTATCGGAGCGCTCAACAGATTCACTTTGAGGTATCCGCAAAAATTGTGAATGGTGTCGGAATCACCGCTAATGAAATCTGCCGTCGAGTCGCTTGAACCATGACTTCATCGAAAACGAATTGCTGGAGCTGAAAACCGGTGTTGATGCAGCCAAAGCAGCATCAGAATACGAGCATCCAGGTCCAGGCGGTGCTGAAGAGCTAGTGCCGCAATTGAACATGCGAGGAACTGAGTATTCCTGAAATCTTCTTGGCATGCTGATGACAGTCTTGTTTGAGCATTTCACGTTCTTGGCGGCATCTACATCTGTACGAACATGCGGCCAATCGTGAGTTAGTACGACGCATGACATGACGTTTACCAGTAAGTGTCAGTACGAGCCAACAATGACAACACCATCGACCTTTGTGACCTGCGTGCATCACACAAGATCGTCCGCGCAGCTCTTGAGAAAGGTTGTTGCCACGATTGCTGTGCGGGGATCCACCAAGCGAAGGTGAACGGTTTTTGTCGACGATCTCCGCGCCTTCATATTTTCAAGCACAAGTCGTATCAGAGACGCCATTGCCGTCCACAAAATTCGCTACTAATTGCCACCTAATCAGCCACAAAGTTACCTTCTTGAAATTTTGACAATATCGACGACACGAAGGCATCATTATCGCTTGGATTAGCAATTGGCTGTTTCACTCGGTTGCTGTTATGATACGAGGCCACTGACTCTGGAGCGCCATGCACTTCAATGATCACAACAATATTAGAAACTACAAGTGAAGGCAATGAGAACACACGTACGCTTGCGACCAATTTGTTCAACCCGTCGTCCGCATACCGTAGCCTTTTCGAAAGCTAGGTTTTTTTGTCCTTCTGTTCCGACCATTTCCTGATTCTTCTTATTGGCTGCAGCTTGGCGTTTGTTCACCTTGACTTGCTTTGAGCCTTTCACTTTAATGTCGCGATCGAGCAACGTTTCCGGGTCGTTCATTCGTGATCGCTTCGAAGGGTACCTAGCAACAGAGCGCTCTGACTCCATTCTCGATTGAGCGACGGCGGGTGACCCGTGTTCTTCGCCTTCTTCGTTGTGGTTCGAAACATCACTTTCAAGCGCAGATGACATGCCGAGATGCATTAGTTCAAAGCCGGCGCTCATAGCAGCGCTTTCTCTGACTGGCCGCTTGGCACCTTTCTTAGTCTTTCCTGCGCATTCACATTACAACGTCAACTTGTCGTCAAATTTTTGTCTACAGATCGAAATGTGGCCGCATAGGTGTGTACCTTTAACGCAACCTGATCTGCTCTCCTCGACGGGAAGCTGAGCTAGTGCTTTCGAGGTTTTGATCACGCGAAGCGGTACAAAAGGCTCGGAGTTTTGCCGTTTTGCCTTTGGCTCAAGTGAATCATCCGACTTCTGTTTTTTCTGTGAAGACCGTTTTGTTGAGTAGCCCATCTCGTTGTTATCTTCAGCCTCAGAGCTCTCGCTGCTTTCCATTCGTTCCAGCTTGTGCTGTATCTTCGTACTTACCAAGCTCTTTGTTTCACTAACTTCTATCACTTGAGACTTTCCTTCCTTCATGGCTGACAAATTTAAATGCCTCACATTCAATGCGGGTGACACATGACTTAAATTGTCGAAACCTTTTCCTCCAGTAGTTTCGTAAACGTAAGTCTTCGCGTGATGCTTTCTGCTATAAGTAAAATGCTGAAACCATAGCTCATCACCCATACTCTTTCGTAGTGTCTCGACACATTTTGCCGGACTGGACTTGTATTTCCCAAGCAGAGTTCCGATAGCAAACTCAGGCATCTTGGAAGATGCTTCGGATTGTAACACCCGTGCTAGCGCTTTTTCGAAACTTGCGCCCGTCGAATTCGCGCGCTTCCTGTCGAAATTGTCGCCGAAAGCCCGTATTTGTGATACCTTTTGCCAACACCTGTCACAACGTCAGTTTGCGTTGCATACCTGTTACGAACTAGTTCGCAAAACTTCTTGTCGTAGGTCAGCGCTCGCATACCTGTCACGCTTACCAAACGTAGTATTGTCCAAAAAGTCGACATAGACTCGATCTTCGATGGAAAGATTATTAATGCCTGCAACCGTTCCGGGCGTTCGAATAGTAATCTGTGCATAAGCAAGTAGCCACATCAATCGATCAAACGAATCTCTGGCAGTGGCGACTGAACCAAGAGAGAAGCAGAAAACACACCAGAGAGGGCCACAGTGGCCAATTAAGATACTTGACCCAGCACTTCACGCTCCACGTGAACGTATGATATGGAGCCACACGGTTGCTATCAATCGACACGACCTCGTCATAGTCGTTTGGCCAGCCGTCGTAATGAATCTTCACCTACAGCAGCTGAGTGTCAGCTACGACACCTCATTAGATCTGACTTATAAAGAGCCTATAGAGCTGCAAAGGCACCTCTTTCCATGACAAAACGCCTATCACGCGAGCCACGTTCCACACGCCGTCACCATCCAGCACATCTGTTTGCATCCAGCGAGACATTTATAGCAGAAAAAGAGGAGCCGAGCGCAAGTAAGCAACGGTCAGCACTGATGGAAGGGCGGACCAAGTGCCACGCACCTATCCAGTCACCCTCCTTCAAGAGGGTCCGATGCTGTACTGAGGCGTCAGTATTGGCATCGCGTTTCGTCATCTTTTTCTTCATTGTGCTTATGCGACACAGCAGGTGCACTGACGTATTTGTCGGTTTAATACCACGTAGGAGGAGGACAAAGACAAGGGCTGGCCACGGGGCCAATCAATCGACGGAAGTCAGACGCTCGTTTACAGTGAGCAAATTTTAGCAATAGCGCAACCAAGTTGTCGATATTCATCGTGTTGTGCTACAACATTATTGTTAGCTTACCCTTCAAAACACATAACTACGAGGAACAAAGCAGGAACAAGGGATGGTGGAAATATATATTATTATCGATCGACGCACTGGCGAGTCGCTCAATGTTCCGTGTTGACAACGTCAACCGGAAACGACGTGACAGTAGTCACTGCAGGACACAGAAACTGCCTCGGATAAAGTCGACAATGTCGGTTGGAGCGCAGCGCTGGCAGCGGTACCACCCGTTGGTTTCAGGGCGCACTTTCGTCGGATCCCGATAGAACGTCTGGCCACATTCTCGGCACGTCCCGTAGTCGCGAGGGTGCGTGCCCGCTGCAGGTGCAAAAGCCGTCGCCACGGGAACTGCTCGTGGAGGCAATTGAGCGGACGGGTAGACGGACCCAGCGACCACGGCTGGGAACAGCACTTGCACGTGACACGCAGGGCAGTACAGTCCCTTCTGTAGGTACTTGTCGATGCAACGTGCGTGGAAAAGATGGCCACACGACGTTTGCTTCACTGTGTCTTTCATAAACAGACTCTTGTGGCAGCATCCACACTGGTCGTCTGCAGTCTTGGTCCCTCCTGTGTTTGCGTCCTGGGTAGGAGCATACAAGTGTTGCGGGATATCCGCTGCTGTCTGCGGCAGGAACTGCGTCGCAGGAATGGGAATCATTTACTTCAAACGCGTCGTATTCGAGAAGGAAGGAGTTTTGAATAATGAACGATGGATTGCCAATTCAGTGACTGTGCAGAGCTGCAAGATGATGCCACCAACTGGATTCTCGGCTGCGACCATGAGAAGTCCAGTGGGTGGGGAGTGTCAACCACATCAAATGCGACGACTGGCGCCACAAAACGAGAAGTAGCCACTGAAACAACATTATCCGTCACATACTACACACAGCTCATACATACAAAAGCGCCGATACTGACGCGTAGTCGCATTCCGTGCTGTCTTCCCCACGATAATCTTCCGTCGCTTCCTCTTCTTCTACTTTCGTCACCCCACTCAACTTCTGCCTCGTTCTTCCTCTTCTTCTGTCACTTTCTGTGTGTGATCCGACCTGAAGCTCAAACATGTTCAATTTCATTGCGGAGAAGCTCAATGTAAAGAACTTGGGGGAGCTACTGGCACCGACGCTTACGCCCGAGCAGGAACTCCACGCGGCGATTGAACAGGGGCTGACGGACAAAGTCCTCCACTTGCTGGACGAAGAGAACGTTGATCCGAACGTCAAGAACGAAGCGGGGAACCTGCCCATCCACACAGCAGCATATCACGGCCACGTCGATATTTTGACGATCCTTCTGACTCACAAAGTGGACGTGAATGTCACGTGTCCACGTCAAAACTCTCCGCTGCACTATGCAGCGGCACAGAGTCGCGACGAAGCGGTTAGGTTCCTGGTGGACAATGGCGCAAACCCTGCGCTTCGCAACCGCCAGGGGCGCACAGCTTATGACGTGGCTAAAGGAGACAATATCCGTCAGTATTTGCTTCCACTGCAGTTCCGGCACGAAGACCCAGCACAAGTTGCATCGCAATTGCCGCCTGGAATTACTCCGTCTGTAGACCCAATGGCGCCTCGTCCAGTGATTGCGCCTCCGCCACTCAGCGGAGACTACTCGACGATGCCGAGTCATTCAATGATGGCAGCGCCTCCGCAGCAGATGCCACAGAACAATCTGTACGCTGCGGCTACGCATAGTGCTATTCCTCGTGGTGGACCGTCGCGGTTTGCTCGTCCGAAGGACTACCGCCCTATTCAAGCTGATGGCTTTGGCTCCAGTGTAGGCAACGACGAGCTGACTGCCAAGTTCGGTAACACGCGTGAGGTCAAGGTCACAGCGCCGCCTCCAAGCGCGATGGCAACGCCCGAAGCTGCGCCGACAGAAAGTGTGCCAGTCAACAGTGTTGCAACGGTTTCTTCCGTTGCTGGTGTGAACCCATACGCCTCCACGTTTGCCAACAAGCTGCAGCCGTCCTCAACTGGCGGATATCCCGGTCAGACGCCTCCAGGTGCTGGCACTGTCGCTCGTGGTCCGCCGCAGTTCAAGATCTTCAACCCCAAGCTGGCGGATGCTGCATCGGTTAGTGGATCTCCAGCTACGTTTCAACCTCCTGCTTCCGGTTCAGTGGCAGCTCCAATCGCACCTCCGAACCACTCGCTTTCGTCGTCGTACATGGTCCAGTCAAATGCGCCTGGTCATGATGAAGAAGTGCATGTGTCGACCACCGACAGTGTGCTGCAGTAGTAACTTGTGGTACAGTCACATGGGCCTACACGTCGATAGTGTAAGCAGTACAGGTACGCTCTGGAGTCAGATGTAGACGTAATCAAGGGACAGCTGCCTCGTCACTTGCAAAAGTAACGTTATATAGGAGTTACTTTATCTGAATCAACTCTACCAGTCAATTAATTCGTGACGACGTTGCAAGTATGAGTGGAAACGAAGCACCAGCGACGAAGGCGCTGTTCGATGAGGACGTATCGCTACTTCACGAGCGCAAAGCGACGCTCAAGCAGGAGCACGCAGCCTACGTCGAAGCTCATCCGGAAATCAAGAAGCTGCTCAGCGGTTTCATGTCGGCGCTGCTGCTAGAGAAACCTCAGGACGTTGTGGCCTTTGCGACCACGCACTTCTCAGCCTCCCAGTCGATTCCCCACGCACAGGTGTACCAATCGACTCAAGTGGTTTAGCACGTTCTTTGTGAAGTAACGCTAATGCAATGGCGTTTACTGACACTTTGCTATGTGAAATGTATTCCTGATGTAGCTCGAGCCGATCGTGATTGCCGGTCCATCGGGCGTAGGCAAAGGAACGCTCATTAATCTTCTGCTGCGAAAGTTTCCTGACACGTTTGGCTTTTCGGTGAGCCATACGACACGCGACCCGCGTGACGGTGAAGTGGATGGCGTCGCGTACCACTTTATTGCGAAGGATATGATGCTTAAGGAGATCGAGGCTGGGCGGTTCTTAGAGCACGCCGAAGTGCATGGCAATGTGTATGGAACGAGCAGACGTGCTGTACAGGAAGTGCAGGAAAAAGGTAAGATTTGCATTCTGGACATCGATATCCAGGGCGTAAAACAGGTCAAGAAGTCGGGCATTTCTGCCAAGTATCTCTTCATTGCCCCGCCTTCCATGGACGAGCTGGAAACGCGTCTACGTGGACGCGCCACCGAGACGGAGGACAAGATCCAGCTGCGCGTGAAGAATGCGGCTGTCGAGATTGCTTTCAGTGAGCAGCCGGATGTGTTTGACGCCATCCTTGTCAACAAGGTGGTGGACGATAGCTTCAGTGAGGTACTTACTCTGCTCAAGCAGTGGTACCCGACGTTGGACTTGAAGTAGACGAGTCAAAAACTGTGCAGTTAGCCAATGGTCAATGCGTCAGTTTCGCTGCAAAACAGAATGACGCCGGGCATGTGAATATCATCCGCTACTGGAGTTTATGTCATGATGAGTTGTGCCTCGGCTGATCCGGCTTGCTACTGAAGTGCATCTTCAGGTTAAGTTCCTTGTCTACTATCAATCGGGGGTATCATCGAGCAACTGGACGGTGTCAGAATGGAAAACGTCAGGAGGTTAGAATACTCGATGTGTGCTGCAGATGGCAAGAAAAAGTGACGGTTTGATTGATTGAGGTCCTTGGTTCGCTTGTGCACGTGTTGCATCCAAGCCACTAAGTGCTGGTGTGTTTTTTGCAACTGCTGCTGGATTCCTCGCCTGATTCCTTCATGCTCTATAGTAGCGAAACACAGTGTGTTCAGACCATATTTCGAGCTCTGTCGTAACGTGCGCTGGTCGCGAGCATTAGCTGTACCAGCTACATGGTGAGCACATTGTACAGCACAAATATAACGCTCGGATTAAAGACATCGTGCTAACCACGTCGTCACTGGTCATTCGGTCTCACGTAAGGATCAAGCTGCTGTCTTCGACTTCGCAACTTTTGAAATTTAGATGCTGACGTCAAATAGGTTTGAGTAGAGATCCAATCAAAGGAGTACGGTCGGTACAGTCGTGTCCAGCATCTTCAACGCTACATAACGAGCTATCGGATGGGATTAGTGTAAAGCAAAGGTCGTTTTTATCTGCAGTGTCCAACAACGGCCGATCGAGCTTCAAGTAAATCCATCTTCCTTCCTACAGCGACAAACAGAAGATGTCTTCAGGAAAATTGTCTACTCAATAACTTCATGAAGAGCTTGTTAGGACGGTGCGCTTAAATGAACGTTGTCGTCGCCTCATTAGGACGTTCGGTGACGTGACACAGGACACACACGCAGTAAAATGGACCAGTTTGTTCAGACGTACGATTAAGTGTATGGGGAAAGAAAGGTGCGATTTGCCTGCATCTTTTAGCAGCGTCTCAACTGCAACAACTCAGCACAAACGTCTGAAGCTGATGGGCGATTCGCGACAGGCGACGATAATGTTGTGGTGAGAGTGCTATTAATTCGAATTCGACGAGCTAGTCTTGAGGTCTATGACCTTACGAAATGACCCCATGCTCTATAGCAACGACTGACTGGATAAATCTGTCTATTTATATCATACGATCGCTGCTGTTGTCGCTTTAGAAGTATTTCAGGTCCTATCTACTGACATCTTTTTGTCGGTACCGGCCATAGTACAACTAACTATCTAGGTGAACTCAAGCTTCATTGTGCAGACAGTTCGAGTACTTGCACTCGCATGAGCCAACGCAATTGCGGCGTGGTGAGTAAGGACTGTAACTAGATGTTGGTGTCGGGTCAATTTTTACTCACTGAATTGTTGTTGTTATATAGGCCTTCCATGTGTCGCTGCTGTACAACTTGGTGCTAGAACACGAGCAACGCCGTCCATGGTGGAGTCACATTGAGCCAAGGTTGATCCTTGGTGCGCTGCCTCTCCAAGACAAGGACCATTTGAATCTGGTGAGATGGTCCAGTGCAGTTTTGTATCGGTAGTGGAGCTAATCATGGCGATATTATGCACACAGTTGGTGCAACGTGAGGGCGTGAAAGCAGCGGTGACCATGAACCAGCCCGTGGAGCTCCTACCGAATTTCCTGTCGACTCCGGTGTCCCCCGGTACAATCGTGGACACGTAGCATGTGAAAGAGATGGCTTGGCTTATATCGATGTTGCGTCTGTGTATTTTCTCTGCTACTGTCAAGCCGAGTGGGCGAGCGAGCACGTTGTTCAATGCTTTGGCTCGACTGAAGACTTCTCCTCGCCAGCGCTGGATACCATCGAAAAGTTGGTGCTGAGTAAAAACGTGGTCTTGTAAAGTGGCCGAGTGCTAACGCTGATCGCGCACAGGTGTGTGCTCTTTCTTCATGACCAGGTTGACGTGCAGCAGAACACAACCTACGTGCATTGCAAAGCGGGACGTGGCCGAAGCGCAGTGGTCGTCGTGGCATTCCTCGTTCAATATCGCCAGATGACACTCGACGAAGCCTTCGAGGTGGTGATGACCAAGCGACCCCACGTTCGTCTCAACACGAGCCAGCACGAGATCCTACGAGAGTTCAGTAAGAAGTACTCGTCACCAGATCCATCCCGACCAGCTGTGCCTACTGGCAACGTCAGCACGCATAAACGGTAAAGGTAGCACTTGTCCAGACAAAATTACCTCGAAGTTCAATTGTCTCCGGTCAAATGCTAGCAGCTTACACTAACCTAAATGTGTATATACCTTCGTCCGTCAGAGGCTCCTCCCACTCAAAGCCAAAGCTCTTCGCAGTCTCCAAGACATAGTCGATCGAGACATTCCGCTTCGTGTATGCAAGCAAGAATTCAGATGCAGCCTTGCAATTGCCGTCCACACTACAACGGCCAGGTTTTAGCAAGTGCTTAGCCGTTTCAAACAGTGACACCACATGCTCTTGCTCGTAGATGACATCGGCGCCAAGAACAATGTCGAACTTATCGTTCACGTGATCCAAGTCAACGCCCCACAGCAACTTGCGGCATTGCACTCTCTCCTCCACTTTGTTGAGCTGGCAATTTGCAACCAGCAACTCAATCGTATCATCGTCACCGTCGGTGATCACCACTTGTTGGTCCGTAAGATACGATGCTAAAATGCCGATAAGTCCGAGTCCACTGCCGAGCTCAATGACCGATTTTCCAGCAAACCGGCCGCGATGCTCGTATATGTACATGCTCAGAAAGTCGCCTGCACGCCAAAGCGTTAGACCCGTTGACTGTAGCGTCTGTCCGATGTCGCGTCGCAGCCCATTGAGGCGAATAACAATCGGAGCAGTTTCGCCTCCATTCTCGGTCGAGCCAAATTTGAATTCAAACGAGTCTTCTTTTGGCTCAATGTCCAGCGCTTTTTGAATGTCTAAGCGCGTGTCGGCAGAGCTCTTTTCGACGATGATACCACGCTCAACAGCGAATTCCTGTAGAGCTGCGAGCGCTGCGCCGGATAGAGCCAACGGTTCGGTATCGCTTTCGCTAACTCTGCTCATTGTTGACCAGTCAAAGTTCGAACGTACTGGACCGATTCTCACAACGCAACCGGTAACTGGCTATGACGCTCTTCCGCAACATAAAATTGCGCTCGTAAAGTCGAGAACGGGGCAACATAACAATCTATCGAATCTTACAGACAAATTGAGCAGAAAATAACACTAAATAAATCAAGTTTTGCTTACGCTTTTTACCGGACCAAATTTAGCTCGCCGCTTTATTTTGGTCCAGTCGATGTACGATTGTGCATTGCAGAAGCGTGAGAATTATAATCGGACCCAAGTTTGGAACGGTTTGTTTTGAATGCATCTGCTATCCATATGAAAATGCGGTCGCACCAGCACGATTGTATATAAGTCATCGACTACTACTCCATTGCTAGTGTGGGTAAGTCAAAAGCTGCACTTATGATCTGCTGCTTTGTGCTTTAACTATAACGGGGCACCGGTCGCTTGTACTGTCACAGTACAAAGGTAATGGGGTGCCCGTTACATGATGTTGACACCAAACGTTGTCAACAGGGATATTGTCTAGAGTGACAATTCCCTACCAATATTATCCAAGATGTATAAAACTGAAGGAATATTATTCCCTTGGGATAACTTTCATGCGCTGCTTAAAGATTGGTTGATAACGACACATCAACCGTAGATTACCACCAATCGCTGCTAGACGCGCGCAATGAGTGGTGAGCAGGTTGTCGTCATACGACGACGTAGTTTAATATAGTTCGATAAAGATTAAGGTTATATTGATAGCTTAACTATGCTAAATAGAGTTCTCTTTTTACCTTTACTCAGCTTAGTTGCTGTGTAGATTAGCTTCCTTTGCACGTACTAGTGTACGTGAAGTTTCGCGGCACCCCAAACAAAGGGTGCCCCGTTACACCTGGTAGCACTTTGTAGTCCGTCCAACGACTACTTTGTGTCCTATCAACTTAAACATGTTAAACGTAGAAGACGACATCTTTCACGTCACACGTGAAGGCTACTCCCATCTGTGCGACTCAAAATGGGAGGTAGTCGGCCGCATAAGTGTGCTCATGGTCGAACCCGCCATCAGTGGTATGTTGGAGTTTCTAAGCAGAGACCAGCAACATGCTGCTATCAACAAGTTACTACAAGGGGAACTTGCCGTCGAAAGACAGAAGATAGCCTTGCTACAACAGCAAGTCTCTCATCAGTCAATGGGCGGGCCGACGCACATGCGTCGACCCGAAACCCTGAAGATAGAAATCTCAAAGTACAAGGTAACCGATGAAGATTCCCTTTTGAAATGGTTCGTAGAGTTAGAAGACGCCATCAGGGCCCGTCACATCGAGGGTGACGAGATGCAAGTCACCTTCGTCCTGTCAAATTTGACAGGACGAGCAAAGACTTGGGCCTTAGGGCTCAAGCTTCAAGACCCAAACATGTTTGAGTCGTTGGAGATCTTGAAGTCTTGGCTCAAAGAGACGTTTGAGTCGCCAAGAGCCGAGTTCAGAGCACGCTCTGTACTCTTGAGGCTAAAGCTTTGTAAACGTGATGTGCAAGCTTACGCACAGCACCTGCGCTACCTTGCGAGTAGCGTCACGAAATTCCCTGTTGATGAGCACACGCTCATCAACGTGTTCATCTACGGCCTTGTAGATGGGCCGGTGAAGACTTAAATGGTTCAAGAGGACTTCCATACGCTGGAAAAGGCGATATCGTATGCGGAACAAGAGGACTTTAGCCTGCGACAGTCTCAGGCTAACTCGTCAAACTATCATCCGACGAGACGACAGGAAACAGGAGGTCCCGAACCAATGAACATCTGTTTCATCGAGAGCGAGAACTCTCGCTCTCTAGTCAAAAGTGATCTGCAAGATACCATCGCTGTCAGAACATCGGACACTAAGCTTATGAGTGCAGTGTCCCAAGCACCACATCATGTCGAAAGACAGGACGTAATGACCGCCATTGGTCGAACAAAGGTCCAAGGCGCGAATCCGACCATTTCGCTAAACCGCGACAGCAAGTCGGACCGTCAAAAAACGGACAGGGTCAGTAGAGGCGGAGCATCCTGCTGATCCAGCAACGTCAAGCGAATTTGCAGGACTCTTGACGAAGATTGCTCCGAACACGCAGTGTCTGTGTGTTACTGCCCTTAGTGATGAGGAGTCTCTCATTACTTTGAAGATCGAAGTGACAAGTGGAATGTCACTTCGCGCCCTAGTTGACTGTGGGGCGTCGAAGAGTTTTATTCGACGCCAGTCGCTAGGGGGTGGTAGGCTCAACTATGTTGAGCGAGAGTTCCCTCCAACGAGGATGACGGTGTGCCTTGCTACAGGCGCATCCGTAACAGTGAACAAACGTGTAGTGGGAATCCGCTACACGCTATAAGGAAAGCAGTACGATGATGACTACATCGTACTAGATTTGGATGACAAATTTGATGTCATACTCGGTCTGCCATGGCTTAGAATGTACCAGCCATGGATCATCTGGCAGCATCGAACAGGAACGATGCCTGCCGCTTGTTCATCGGATGGCCATCTGATGAACGTCTTGGAGCATCCACAAGCGTGTGGATGTACTACGAGTGAGTGTGATGGCCTCACTTGTGGTACGGTCGTTAGTACGATTGCACAAGATCACAGTGTAGAAGGCCACTGCACTATGGAACCAGCTTCCGGCACCTGTGTAGAGACACAGGCTGCTCTGAAGGTTCACCACTGGAAGAGATCGAGTGGACCCGAACACGGATGCACACTGAGAAGGGTGCATCCAAGAAGAGAGATTAGTGTTGTTCAGGATGAACAACACGTTCAAGCAAGATCGACTGATATACATTCGATCGCAAAGCACACCCGATCGACTGAAAGAGAGTCGATCGAAGAGGACGTGACTGTGTTAGTGCACCTACAGTTAGAGCACGTATTGGACGAAAGTTCAGCGTTCCTGAGAGCATTAACTCCCGAGAGAGTTATGTTGAGGGTGTGTATTCCCGACCACCTGTTGAGAAAATGTTTTCCCAGGCAATCACCGAGACCGTGAACGTCTTAGCATTTGACGGATCAAGTGTAGGCGCTTATACACTTGATCTGGTTACGCCTCCGAAGTCAGCTTCGGAGGTGGTCAAGTTGCCAACGCCAGAATCTGAAAGATTCTTGCGAGATCTGCGTAATGACAAGATCAAGCAGATCTGCGTATTCGTCACAGAGGAAGAGTACGTCGCCAATATTCGGTCGGCACAAGTGTTTGCTGAGAACGAACGGGTGCTCAGTAGTTCATCGATGGACGAGAGTGTCCTCGAGGAGAAGACTCGGATTGAGCGATACACGTCTCAATCTTGGGAGTCTTTGAGACAATCCTTTGTATAAGAATTTGGTTGAATTCAGGGATGTTTTTTTGGAATCCGTGCCATGCGAGCTCCCGAAAGACAAAGGCACTCGGCATGAGATCGAACTGAAAACCTGGTTCGAAATACTGTGTCATGAAGCAGGGGCCACTGCCTCGTGAACAGGTCACAGCGATCGACAAATTCTTTGCCGATCGTTTAGCGGCTGGTCTTGTGAGGGAATCATCATCCCCACACAGCTTTCCGACCTCCTGTGTGCGAAAGGCCATAGGAGGGTGGCGGATATTGCACGCGCTCAGCAAGTTGAATGCTGCAACGGTACCGACCCGAACGCCGATATCGAGGAAGGACGTCATCATTGATGGTATGGTAAAAAGTACATTTCTTTTCGTCGATGGATTTAATGGATGGCTTCTATCAAATCCTTATGCAAGAACGGGAAATACCCTATCCAGCAGTGAGCACCACTAGTGGTATGCTCTGGGAGTGGCTAGTGATGTCGCAGGGGCTAAGTAACGCCCCTTCAACTTTCAACAGATTTGTTACGAATCTGTTGCGATCGGTGCGCGATTTCGCACCGAGTTACTTCGACGATGTCTTCGTCCATAGCCGGGCTATGGATGGGATGAAGGAAGTGGAGGTTCATAGAATCCACGTCCGGAAGGTTCTTACTCTAATGCGAGAGCATAAGTTGTTCGCGAACCTCAAGAAGTGTATATTCGCAGCGAACGAAATACCTCTTCTTGGCTGCATCTTGGGTAAAAACGGTGTACGCCCTGATCCGGAAAAGACCAAGGCGAGTAGCGACTGGCCTGTGCCAGTCGACGTCAAGGGAGTTCGAAAGTTTTTTGGCTTAGCGGCGTACTTGCACAAGTACTCGTGCAACTACGCCGAGATGACCGTACATCTCTCTCGTCTGCTAAAGGATAACGAGAGGTAGTCTTGGAGCGCTGAGCGTCAGCACTCTTTTGAAGGCATCAAGAAAAGCTTGGTGCAATCGCCTGTGTTGGCAATTGTAGTCCAGGACTAAACATTCCATGTTGTCTGTGACGCCAGCAATTTTGCAATCGGCTGCGCGGTAATGCAGAACGACTCAGACGGCGTTGAGCGCATCATTTATACTGACCATGCGTCGTTACGCACGGCCGTAACCAGCCCTCACCTCTTACAACGAATGGCGAGGTGGCTGTAATTCTTCGCGGAGTAAAAATTCTCCGTCGAGTGTAAACCAGGACGACTTAATGTCGTCGCTGATGCTCTTTCGCGTCGGCCCAATTTTGAGCCGACTGCTCAGCCCAACAGTAGGGGTGATCACACTGTAGCGACGCTAGCAGTGAGTGTTCCGCCGTCGAATCTGCTCGACGACGTGCGGAAGGCATACGCAGAAGATGCGTCTCTTCTGGGATTGATAGATTTCGTACTTAATCTATCTAATCAAGCTTTGAAAAGCTTGTCGTCTCAATACCGCTCTCCAACCGAACGGTATTCGGTTCGTGATGTACTGCTGTACTATACAGCAGTCAACGGCGACACACCTCGTGTCGTCGTTCCCGCTCATAATGATTTGTGATTTCGCATCATGTCTGAGTGTCACGATGTCCCAACCAGTGGGCATCGCGGAAGGGACAATACTTACCTCATGGTAAGTCGTGACTTCTACTGGCCCCGCCAGTATGAGTTCGTGCGCGAATACATTCGTGCTTGCGAATTTTGTCAACGATTAAAGCCTAGTCCTTCATCCCGCGTACCCTTGCAGCCTCTTCCGATTCCGACAGAGTGCTGGCAGTCCGTATAGATGGACTTCGTCTTCGGGTTTCCCAAAGACGTTCACAAGAATACTGGTATTCTTGCGTACGTTGATCGGTTTAGCAAGATGATATATCTTGATGCTGTTCCGGAGTATATCACAGCCCAGGGCTGTGCGCGTGTCTTCGTCGATACTATCTTCCGACTTCACGGGCCACGCCGTGAACTCGTGTCTGATAGGGATCCCGCTTCATAGCGGAGTTCTGGCAATCCGTGTTCCGTTCACTTGGAGCACGTTTAACGGTGTCAACTTCTGACCATCCAGAAACAGATGTTCAGACGGAACGCGTCAACCGCGTTCTCGAAGAGATACTTCGAGGGTATGTCCTCTCGTTTACGAGCTGTAGTGAGTTCTTGCTGATAGCGGAATTCGCCACCAACAACTCGGTGCACGCGTCGACAACGCATACAACGTTCTTCGTGAATGGCCAACGCCATCCACGTTTACCCGCCGTCTTATATTGTGACTCTAGCTTAAGGAGGGGTGGACTCGCTCGAACAAAAACCGATCTGGTTCTTGATCACCACCCGTCGACAATGGTGTTGACGTGATGGATGCCGATGTCGATGTGATCGACATCGATGATTGTAACGGGGCACCTGTAACGGGGCACCCTGTAGCTTGTACTGATGACAGTACAAGCTACTTATTCTGATGACAGAATAAGGCGGTGCCTCGTGACTTCACGTACACTCGTACGTGCAGAGGAAGACGGTAAGAAGAAGCGAGTACTTGGTTAAAGTAAAAAGTAGAACTGAATTTATAATAGTTAATGTCTGCAATAAATCACTATTTATCTTCATCTAACTATGTCTAAATACAAATGTGTAAATCAACTATCTGCTCACCACTCATTGCGTGCGTCTGTCGTGGCGCGTCTTCGTTGGTTGATATAATGGCCTATATCAACCAATTAGGAACTACTCGTAAGTGCTACAGAATATTTGTCCTTATGATAATATTCTGAGAATATAACTCTTATAGTTATATTCTATTAACAATTTCTTATAAATTGTTATGTAACGATTCACCCCGTTACATCACCCTCCCCTTCACCATCAGTCACTTTAGTGACTGATTGACTAAATGGATACTCGTCCCAAATCATTTGGGACAGGGTTTGCACTTGTTGGTCCGAGTCCACACTCCAACAATTCATCGCATGGTTAACAAGCCCATGCGATGCGCGAGCAAGGCCGCCGAGAGCGCGTCCGCACGTCTCTGTGCGGATGCCGAAGCAGAAATCACAGCAACTGATGTCTCATCGGTTGCTGAAGCGACTCAGCCTGTGTCACTTGGTGATGCAGGCGCTAGTCATGAAGACACTCATGTCTTCACAGAGTATGAGCTCGGTGTCTCATACTCTCCTGATACGGAAGACGGATCCGTATCGACGGCGATTGAATCCAAGCCGCCTGCCAAGCGTTGCATGGATGATGCTATGCGTCGTAGCATCTTTGGTTCATCTGATGAATCAGATGAACCATCGCCGAAGCGAAGGCGCTCGAGGTCGCGAGACTCGGGCGCTAACAGTGGTGTCGATTCTCATATTGACACCACTTCACAGCGAGGTGCCAGTACTTCTGTCGGCACATCGCAGGAAGAGCGGGACCGCAATGTGTTGCGTCTCGCTCCTGAGAAGAAGGCATGGATGCCTCCAAAATCCGTCTTGGATCACTCGTCGTCGCCGACAAGTGATCGTTATCGAAAACGATTGTTCGATTCGTCAAGGATCCATCACCTTGACCCCAGCGCGAAAAACTATCGCGCTGAACATGAATTCTTCATCGATGCTTTCTTCAGACATAGATGGTACAGTGGGAATCACAAACGTGATGGTCCCTCACTGCTTCAAGCGTGGAACGCCTACATCCATAACCTCGAGGATGTAGGTCGTGACGCTTGGAACGACAAACTTATCAAAGCTCGTGATAAGTTTGAAAAGCGAACCCCAACAGGTGCACGCTATAAGCTGCATCGTCTATCAAGGGAGAAAGGATTACCCTGCCTCTCTTGGGGAGACTCGTGCCCATGTTGTGTGAACAACTCTGCACGAGCACCTAAGGAGGCTTTCCTCCTTACTAGCCCGTGGTGGCGCGTACGTATCTCTACTGAGATGTACGAAGGGATTGACAACCTGAAATCCCTTTACGACCGTGCCGGGAAGACTTTCTCCGGTGGTCCTTCTGCGGCACAGGATGTGCCGCGTCGTACTGCTCAACCAGACCCAGTACGTCAACCATCAGTTGGGAGCGGGGCTCCCAAGTATCCCAGGACGGGGGATAGCCGCGCCACCGGACGAGATAACTCGTCCGACGTCCGTTCACGTCGCGGTGGTTCAACAGCTGCTCAACTAGATAGCGCTGGCCACCGCGAGAGTCCTCTAATGGAGGTGGAGGAGGAGGAAAGACGCTCTCCACACGATCATGTGGATCGGTGTGTTCCCGAGAGCTTCTTTGATCGCGTAACGCAAAGGTTACGCGACGATCTCGAACATGAGCGGAATAGGCGTCTCCAAATGGCGTACACTGCCTCGAAGCATCGAGCTGAGTTTGCCTTTACTCAGCTTGAGAACGAGAGATCTCTGACATCTCTTCGTGACGAGCTAAGGGTAGCTCGTGGGATTGTTGATCGGTCTCGGGATGAGATAGCTGCTCTTCAGACCCTTGTTGATGCCCACCATCGGGAGCACAAGGCTCTCTGCGAGATGCTTGAGCGCAAGGGCGTTCTTCATCGGAAGAAGCAGCGTACTGGTGGTACGGCTTAAGCCGACCAACGTAAAACGTGGGATGCGTTCGCATCTTACGTGGTAACTCGATCGTGTATGCATTGCCTAGGCGGTGCAATACACGAAATGGGCCAATGTACTTGGGTAGTAGTTTACTGCTACCCAAGTTAGTCACTATATGCTTTGGTAGATTAACCGTAGACAGTAGGACTAAGTCACCCTTATTGAATAAAAGAGTGTTTGCCCTTCTATTCTTGTCAGCGTTTTGCTTTTGCTTATTCACCGCTTCGGCGATGGAGTCTTGCACAAAACGGACTACCGTTTCACGAGCCAGTATGAACTCATATGCTGACTCGTTAGCTTCAGTGCGCTGTGAGTGCACTGCAGCGACATCAGTCTTCAGTGAGGGCTTCCGCACTCTCACTGGCATCATCTTCTTCGATATCGATGTTGTCGATATCGGCATCAAACGCAATGACCTCTTCGTCAGAGCGTGATGAGCGTGAACCAAATCGGTTTTTGCTCGCGCGAGTCCCTCCCCCCTTAAACCAGAGTCACACTCTAGTAAGGTGGGTACTCGCGGATGGCGTAAGCCATTCACGTAAAACGGTGTATGTGTCGTGGACGCATGCACCGAGTTGTTAATGGCAAACTCTACCATTGGCAAGAACTCACTCCAACTCTTAAAGGAGTGTACGTATCCTCGAAGTATCTCTTCAAGGACACGATTGGCACGTTCCGTCTGACCATCTGACTCTGGATGATCAGATGTTGACATCTTCAAGCGCGTTCCGAGTGATTTGAATACGGAACGCCAGAAATCAGCAGTGAATCGTGGATCTCTGTCTGATACGAGTTCACGGGGCAACCCATGAAGTCGGAAGATGGTGTCAATAAAGACACAAGCACAGCCACTTGCCGTGATTGTCTCTGGTACAGCCACAAGGTGTACCATTTTGCTGAATCTGTCAACAAATACGAGAATACCCGTATTCCCGCGTGCGTCTTTGGGTAACCCGAAGACGAAATCCATTGAGATGGATTCCCAGCACTCTGCCGGAACTGGTAGAGGCTGTAAAGGTGCACGCAGTGAAGGACTTGACTTCACTCGTTGACAGACTTCGCATGCGCGAACATACTTTCGCACAAACTGATACTGGCGGGGCCAGTAAAAGTCTCGACTCACCGTGAGATATGTTTTCTCTCGGCCACGATGTCCTCCTATAGGAGCATCGTGATACTCAAACATGATCTGCAAAAGCAGATCAGTATCATCTGGAATGACAACACGTTGTGTGTCACCAGAAACGGCTGTATAATAAAGTAAACCGTTGCGAGTAGTGTATCGATCTGATGCAGATCGATACGCAGGCGACAATCGTTTCAACGATTCTCGAGATGGTTGGGAGAGATGTGTCAACAACTTCACTATCTCACCATCTTGGGCGTATGCCCGCCTCACATCATCATACAACGTTGTAGATGGGACTGAGGACGTCATAACCGCAACAGTGACTGTCTCACTGTTGGGTTTCGCGACTGTTTCAAAGTCGGGACGACGTGAGAGTGCATCAGCGACGACATTAAGTCGTCCTGGTTTGTACTCGACCGTAAAGTTGTATTCCGCAAAGAATGACAACCACCGCGCCATTCGTTGTGAAAGGTGCGGGCTGTTCACTGCCGTGCGTAATGACGCATGGTCGGTGTAAACAATGAAGGGTCTATCTCCTAATAGATAGACTCTGAACTTCGCGAGTGCATACTTCATGGCAAGGAGTTCCTTGTCATGTACTGGGTAATTCCGCTCAGCTGGTTGCAGCTGACGCGACTGATAGCAGACGACGCGTTCAACGCCTTCAAGGTCGTACTGCATTAATGCACAGCCGTTTGCGAAATCGCTGGCATCACAGACCACATGACATGGCCTGTCCTGATCGGCAATCGCTAGGACTGGGGATTTTATCAAGCTCTTCTTGATACCCTCAAAGGAGAGCTGACATTCAGCGTTCCAAAACCACCTCTCGTTCTTTTTCAACAAACGAGAGAGGTGCACAGTCATCTCGGCGTAATTGCGTGAATACTTATGCAAATACGCCGCTAGCCCAAGGAATTTTCGAAGACCTTTGACATCAACTGGCACAGGCCAGTCGGTGATCGCCTTGATCTTTTCGGGATCAGGACGTACACCGTTCTTACCAACGATGCACCCAAGAAGTGGTATTTCGCTTGCTGCAAATATACACTTCTTAAGGTTGGCATACAATTGATGCTTTCGCATGATTGTAAGAACCTGTCGGACGTGGTACCTGTGAACCTCAACGTCCGACTTTCCATCCATAGCCCGACTATGGATGAATACGTCATCGAAATAACTCGGCGCGAATTCTCGTACTGGTCTCAACAGATGTGATACACATCTGTTGAACGTGGCAGGGGCATTACTAAGCCCTTGTGGCATTACTAAGCCCTTGTGGCATTACTAGCCATTCCCAGAGCATGCCGCTAGGCGTGCTCACTGCGGTATAGGTTATATCCCGTTCTCGCATAAGGATTTGATAGAAGCCATCCATCAAATCCATGGACGAAAAGATGGTACTCTTTGACATACCATCAATGATTACGTCCTTCCTCGGTATCGGCGTCTGTTCCGGTACCGTTGCAGCATTCAACTTATTGAATGCATGCACTATCCGCCACCCTCCTGTTGCTTTTCGCACACAGAAGGTCGGAGAGCTATGTGGGGAAGTTGATTCCCTCACATGGCCCGCAGCTAAACGATCGGCAAAGAACTTGTCGATCGCATGTACTTGTTCACGAGGCAGTGGCCACTGCTTCATGACACAGTACTTCGAGCCTGGTTTAAGCTCGACCTCGTGTCGAATACCTTTATCCTTAGGTAATTCGCACGGAACAGTTTCAGGGAATACATCCTTGAATTCAACCAAATCTTCATAGAGAGGATTTGTCTTGAGCGATTCCCACGATTGGGAGTCATATCGCTCAATTCGTGTCTTTTCATCTAGGACACTCTCGTCCATAGATGAACTACTGAGAACTCTCTCGTTCTCAGTAAACATTGTTGCTGACCTTATGTCGGTTACACACTCGTCGTCAGCGACGAGTACGCAGATCTGCTTGACTTTGCCACTACGCAGATCACGCAAGAACCTTTTATATTCGAGCGTTGGCAACTGAGTGATCTCCGAAGTCAACTTCGGAGGCGCAATCAGATCAAGTGTATAAGCGCCTACACTTGATCCGTTATTGACTATGACATTTAATGTCTCTGTCATTTCCTGGGGACTTATTCCCACAGGCTTCGAAGGACTTATTCCTTCGGCTTCCCGGGGACTTATTCCCGCGGGTTTCGGGGAACTTATTTCCGCCGTATTTGTATTATCGGGACTTATTCCCTTTACCTCCTCTAGCTGTGGTTGCGCAACCACAGCGAGATCCTCTACGAAAGACTCTCCAGTCGATCTAGGATTATCGTTTCGCTTAACCTGAGCGATCGATTGTTTCTCTTCTAGATGTTCCCCGCTAGGGATACATCTTTGTCCCGGTCCACTCGACTTATTCGAGTGGTGGACCTTCGGCGCAGCCTGTGTTTCCTCACAGCCACCGGAACTTTGCTCCGAAGTGTAACCGTTGATTACACTAAGGTTTTGTGCAGTCGTACTAACGACCGTACCACAAGTGAGGCCATCGCACTCACTCGTAGTACATCCACACGCTTGTGGACGCTCCAAAACGTTCATCAGATGGCCGTCTGATGAACAAGCGGCAGGCATCGTTACTGTTCGATGTTGCCAGTTTACCCGTGGTTCGTACCTTCTGAGCCACGGTATTCCAAGGATGACATCAAATTTGTCATCCAAATCCAATACGATAAAGTCATCGTCATATTGGGTATCTTCTAGCGTATAGTGAAGATTCACTATACGCTTCATGACGGTTACGGATGCGCCTGTCGCAAGACGTACCGTCATCCTCGTAGGAGGTGTGTCACATTCACTGTAATTGAAGTGACCATCTTCTAGCGATTGGCGTCGCACAAAATTGTTGGACGCCCCACAATCGACTAGAGCTCGAAGGGACAACTTATTCGTCACTTCGAGTTTCAAGGTAATGAGTGAGTCCTCATTACCTAGAGCAGCAACGCACAACGTTTTTGCGTTGGGAGCAACCTTCATCAAGAGGCCTACAAATTCTCTTAACGTTGCTGGACCAGTAGGGTGCTCCGCACCTACTGATCCTGTCCGTTTTTTGACGGTCCATCCCGTTGTTGCGTCTTTGCACCAACAGCGGACCCGCGTCCCTGCCCCTTTCTCATGGGTGGACGGTCACTACGCCCAGTGTTGCGAGACACTGAACGAGGGACACTACACTCGTAAGCGTAGTGTCCTGTCTTTTGACATCTGTTGCATTTCCGCAACTTCTTGTAGTCTGTAGAGCGAGCCTTCTCGCTCTCTACATAACAGAGTTCCATCGGCTCTGAACCTCCGTTGTCATATCGTCTCGGTTGACGATATGATGTCGAGCTGGCGCGAGCCTGTCTCAGACTGAAGTCTTCCTGTTCCGCAATGGAAATGGCTTGTTCTAGTGAATCTAGTTCAAGCCGGAACAGGTGAGTCTTGACGGGACCATCCGCAAGACCCTGCATGAACACCGAAACCAACGTGTGTTCATCCACCGGATTGGAATTTATACAACTCGTAAGATGTCGTATATGTTGCGCGTAAGCGTGCACATCACGCTTACCCTGTTTGAGCTTCAAGAGTTCGGTTCGAGCTCTGAACTCAGCTCTAGGCGGCTCAAACGTTTGTCTGAGCCGCGACTTGAAGACTTCTAACGACCCAAACGCATATGGGTCGTGCAACTTGAGCCCCAGTGCCCAAGTCTTGGCACGTCCTGCCAGATTTGACTGGGCAAATGCAACTTGCATTTCCCCATCGTCGATGCGACGCGCCCTTATGGCGTCATCCAATTCGACGAACCATCTCAAGAGGGAGTCCTCTTCGACTCCCCTATACTTGGAGATGTCAATCTTCAAGGTCTCGGGTCGACGCGAATGCATCGACCCACCAGCAGCACCTGCTGCTGTCTTAACAGTTCAAACTGTTGAGCACCCTGTTCTCTCAACAACTCTGCTTGTTGAGAACCTTGTTGGTGAAGCAAGGCTACTTTCTCGCGTTCAGCGTCAAGTTCATTTTGAATGAACTTGGCGATAGTAGCATGTTGGGCATCTCTATTGAGAGCCTCTAGCATGACGCTAACAGCATGGATGCCCATGGTTGAACCCATCCGTTCAACCGCATCCCATTCGACATCGCTCAAATGGGAGTAGCCGTCACGCGTAGCGTGAAAGCTTTGGTCATCTTCATCATCTAACATATTCATGTTAGATGTGAACGTGGTCCTTGGACGGACTACGAAGTGCTACCAGGTGTAACGGGGCACCCTGAAGCTTGTACTGATGACAGTACAAGCTACTTATTCTGATGACAGAATGAGGCGGTGCCTCGTGACTTCACGTACACTCGTACGTGCAGAGGAAGACGGTAAGAAGAAGCGAGTACTTGGTTAAAGTAAAAAGTAGAACTGTATTTATAATAGTTAATGTCTGCAATAAATCACTATTTATCTTCATCTAACTATGTCTAAATACAAATGTGTAAATCAACTATCTGCTCACCGCTCATTGCGTGCGTCTGTCGTGGCGCGTCTTTATGGGTTGATATAATGGCCTATACCAACCAATTAGGAACTACTCATAAGTGCTGCAGAATATTTGTCCTTATGACAATATTCTGAGAATATAACTCTTATAGTTATATTCTATTAACAATTTCTTATAAATTGTTATGTCACGGTTCACCCCGTTACATCACTCCTCCCGTTTAACCGTCAGTCACTTTAGTGACTGATTGACTAAATGGATACTCGTCCCAATCATTTGGGACGGGGTTTGCACTTGTTGATCCGAGTCCACAGTCCATCAGTTTTATCGCATGGTTAACAAGCCCATGCGATGCGCGAATAAGGCAGCTGAGAGCGCGTCTGCACGTCTCTGTGCGCACGCCGAAGCAGAAACCGCTGCAACCGATGTGTCATCGATTGCTGGATCGTCTCAGTCTGTATCACCTGGTGATGCAGACACTCGTCATGAAGACACTCATGTCTTCACAGAGTATGAGCTCGGTGTCTCATACTCTCCTGATACGGAAGACGGATCCGTATCGAAGGCGATTGAATCCAAGCCGCCTGCCAAGCGTGGCATGGATGATGCTATGCGTCGTAGCATCTTTGGTTCATCTGATGAATCAGATGAACCATCGCCAAAGCGAAGGCGCTCGAGATCGCGAGACTCGGGCGCTCACAGTGGTGTCGATTCTCATATTGACACCACTTCGCAGCGAGGTACCAGTACTTCTGTCGGCACGTCGCAGGAAGAGCGGGACTGCAGAGTGTTGCGTCTTGCTCCCGAAAAGAAAGCATGGCTGCCTCCAAAGTCAGTCATGAATCTCTTGTCGGCGACGACAAGTCGAACATAATGTTCGATTCATCAAGGATTTTATCACCTTGACCCCAGTGCGAAAAACTATCGCGCTGAACATGAATTCTTCATCGATGCTTTCTTCAGACATCGATGGTACAGTGGGAATCACAAACGTGATGGTCCCTCACTGCTTCAAGCGTGGAACGCTTACATCCATAGCCTCGAGGATGTAGGTCGTGACGTTTGGAACGACAAACTTATCAAAGCTCGTGATAAGTTTGAAAAGCGAACCCCAACAGGTGCACGCTATAAGCTGCATCGTCTATCAAGGGAGAAAGGATTACCCTGCCTCTCTTGGGGAGACTCGTGCCCATGTTGTGTGAACAACTCTGCACGAGCACCTAAGGAGGCTTTCCTCCTTACTAGCCCGTGGTGGCGCGTACGTATCTCTACTGAGATGTACGAAGGGATTGACAACCTGAAACCCCTTTACGACCGTGCCGGGAAGACTTTCTCCAGCGGTCCTTCTGCGGCACAGGATGTGCCGCGTCGTACAGCTCAACCAGACTCAGTACGTCAATCATCAGTTGGGAGCGGGGCTCCCAAGTATCCCAGGACGGGGGATAACCGCGCCACCGGACGAGGTAACTCGTCCGACGTCCGTTCACGTCGCGGTGGTTCAACAGCTGCTCAACCAGATAGCGCTGGCCACCGCGAGAGTCCTCTAATGGAGGTGGGGGAGGAGGGAAAACGCTCTCCAAACTATTGTGGGGATGCGTGCGTCCCCGAGAGTCTCTTTGATCGCGTAAATCTTGCGTTGCGCGGCGACCTCGAACATGAGCGGGACAGGCGTCTTCAACTGGCGGACACCGTCTTGAAGCATCGAGCTGAGTTTACCTTGCTCAGCTTGAGAACAAGAGAGCTCTGACGTCTCTGCGTGACGAGCTAAGGGTAGCTCGTGTGGATATTGACCGGTCTCGGGCTGAGATAAATGCTCTTCAGACCCTTGTTGGTATTCACCATCGAGAGCACAAGGCCCTCTGTGAGATGCTTGAGCGCAAGGGCGTTCTTCATCGGAAGAAGCAGCGTACTGGTGGTACGGCTCAAGCCGACCAACGTGAAACTTGGGATGCGTTCGCATCTTACGTGGTAACTCGATCGTGTATGCATTGCCTAGGCGGTGCAATACACGAAATGGGCCAATGTACTTGGGTAGTAGTTTACTGCTACCCAAGTTAGTCACTATATGCTTTGGTAGATTAACCGTAGACAGTAGGACTAAGTCACCCTTATTGAATAAAAGAGTGTTTGCCCTTCCATTCTTGTCAGCGTTTTGCTTTTGCTTATTCACCGCTTCGGCGATGGAGTCTTGCACAAAACGGACTACCGTTTCACGAGCCAGTATGAACTCATATGCTGACTCGTTAGCTTCAGTGCGCTGTGAGTGCACTGCAGCGACATCAGTCTTCAGTGAGGGCTTCCGCACTCTCACTGGCATCATCTTCTTCGATATCGATGTTGTCGATATCGGCATCAAACGCAATGACCTCTTCGTCAGAGCGTGATGATCGTGAACCAAATCGGTTTTTGCTCGCGCGAGTCTCTCCCCCCTTAAACCAAAGTTACACTCTAGTAAGGTGGGTACACGCGGATGGTGTAAGCCATTCACGTAAGACGGCGTATGTGTCGTTGACGCATGCACCGAGTTGTTAATGGCAAACTCTACCATGGGCAAGAACTCACTCCAACTCGTAAAGGAGTGTACGTATCCTCGAAGTATATCTTCGAGGACACGATTGGCCCGTTCCGTCTGACCATCTGACTCTGGATGATCAGATGTAGACATCTTCAAGCGCGTACCGAGTGATTTGAACACGGAACGCCAGAAATCAGCTGTGAAGCGTGAATCTCTGTCTGATACGAGCTCACAGGGTAACCCATGAAGTCGGAAGGTGGTGTAGATAAAGACACAAGCACAGCCACTTGCCGTGATTGACTCTGGTACAGCCACAAGGTGTACCATTTTGCTGAATCTGTCAACAAATACGAGAATACCCGTATTCTTGCGTGCGCCTTTGGGTAACCCGAAGACGAAATCCATTGAGATGGATTCCCTGCACTCTGCCGGAACTGGTAGAGGCTGTAAAGGTGCACGCAGTGAAGGACTTGACTTCACTCGTTGACAGACTTCGCATGCGCGAACGTACTTTCGCACAAACTGATACTGGCGGGGCCAGTAAAAGTCTCGACTCACCGTGAGATATGTTTTCTCTCGGCCACGATGTCCTCCTATAGGAGCATCGTGATACTCGAACATGATCCGCAAACGCAGATCAGTATCATCTGGGATGACAACACGTGGTGTGTCACCAGAAACGGCTGTATAATAAAGTAAACCGTTGCGAGTTGTGTATCGATATGATGCAGATCGATACGCAGACGATAATCATTTCAACGATTCTCGAGATGGTTGGGAGAGATGTGTCAGCAACTTCACAGTCTCACCATCTTGGGCATACGCCCGCCTCACATCATCCTGTAACGTTGTAGATGGTATCGTGGACGTCATAACCACAACAGTCGCTGTCTCACTGTTACACGACTGGTTCAAAGTCGGGACGACGTGAGAGTGCATCAGCGACGACATTAAGTCGTCCTGTTTTGTACTCTACCGTAAAGTTGTATTCTGCAAAGAATGACAACCACCGCGCCATTCGTTGTGAAAGGTGCGGGCTGTTTACTGCCGTGCGTAACGACGCATGGTCAGTGTAAACAATGAAGGGTCTATCTCCTAATAGATAGACTCTGAACTTCGCGAGTGCATACTTCATGGCAAGGAGTTCCTTGTCATGCACTGGGTAGTTCCGCTCAGCTGGTTGCAGCTGACGCGACTGATAGCAGACGACGCGTTCAACGCCTTCAAGGTCGTACTGCATTAATGCACAGTCGTTTGCGAAATCGCTGGCATCACAGACCCCATGAAATGGCCTGTCCTGATCGGCAATTGCTAGGAATGGGGATTGTATCAAGCTCTGCTTGATACCATCAAGCTCTGACATTTAGCATTCCAAAACCACCTCTCGTTCTTTTTCAACAAACGAGAGAGGTGTACAGTCATCTCGGCGTAATTGCGTGAATACTTATGCAAATACGCCGCTAGCCCAAGGAATTTTCGAAGACCTTTGACATCAACTGGCACAGGCCAGTCGGTGATCGCCTTGATCTTTCCGGGATCAGGACGTACACCGTTCTTACCATCGATGCACCCAAGAAGTGGTATTTCGCTTGCTGCAAATATACACTTCTTGAGTTTTGCATACAATTGATGCTTTCGCATGATTGTAAGAACCTGTCGGACGTGGTACCTGTGAACCTCAACGTCCGACTTTCCATCCATAGCTCGACTATGGATGAATACGTCATCGAAATAAATCGGCGCGAATTCTCGTACTGGTCTCAACAGATGTGATACACATCTGTTGAACGTGGCAGGGGCATTACTAAGCCCTTGTGGCATTACTAGCCACCCCCAGAGCATGCCGCTAGGCGTGCTCACTGCGGTATAGGTTATATCCCGTTCTCGCATAAGGATTTGATAGAAGCCATCCATCAAATCCATGGACGAAAAGATGGTACTCTTTGACATACCATCAATGATTATGTCCTTTCTTGGTATCGGCGTCTGAGCCGGTACCGTTGCAGCATTCAACTTGTTAAATGCATGCACAATCCGCCACCCTCCTGTTGCTTTTCGCACACAGAAGGTCGGAGAGCTATGTGGAAAAGTTGATTCCCTCACATGGCCCGCATCTAAACGATCGGCAAAGAACTTGTCGATCGCAAGTACTTGATCACGAGGCAGTGGCCACTGCTTCATGACACAGTACTTCGAGCCTGATTTAAGCTCGACCTCGTGTCGAGTACCTTTATCCTTCGGTAATTCGCACGGAACAGTTACAGGGAATACATCCTTGCATTCAACCAAATCTTCATAGAGATGATTTTTCTTGAGCGATTCCCACGATTGGGAGTCATATCGCTCAATTCGTGTCTTTTCATCTAGGACACTCTCGTCCATAGATGAACTACTGAGAACTCTCTCGTTCTCAGTAAACATTGTTGCTGACCTTATGTCGGTTACACACTCGTCGTCAGCGACGAGTACGCAGATCTGCTTGACTTTGCCACTACGCAGATCACGCAAGAACCTTTTGTGTTCGAGCGTTGGCAACTGAGTGATCTCCGAAGTCAACTTCGGAGGCGCAATCAGATCAAGTGTATACGCGCCTACACTTGATCCGTTATTGACTATGACATTTAATGTCTCTGTCATTTCCTGGGGACTTATTCCCACAGGCTTCGAAGGACTTATTCCTTCGGCTTCCCGGGGACTTATTCCCTCGGGTTTCGGGGAACTTATTTCCGCCGTATTTGTATTATCGGGACTTATTCCCTTTACCTCCTCTAGCTGTGGTTGCGCAACCACAGCGAGATCCTCTACGAAAGACTCTCCAGTCGATCTAGGATTATCGTTTCGCTTAACCTGAGCGATCGATTGTTTCTCTTCTAGATGTTCCCCGCTAGGGATACATCTTTGTCCCGGTCCACTCGACTTATTCGAGTGGTGGACCTTCGGCGCAGCCTGTGTTTCCTCACAGCCGCCGGAACTTTGCTCCGAAGTGTAACCGTTGATTACACTAAGGTTTTGTGCAGTCGTACTAACGACCGTACCACAAGTGAGGCCATCGCACTCACTCGTAGTACATCCACACGCTTGTGGACGCTCCAAAACGTTCATCAGATGGCCGTCTGATGAACAAGCGGCAGGCATCGTTACCGTTCGATGTTGCCAGTTTACCCGTGGTTCGTACCTTCTGAGCCACGGTATTCCAAGGATGACATCAAATTTGTCATACAAATCCAATACGATAAAGTCATCGTCATATTGGGTATCTTCTAGCGTATAGTGGATCTTCACTATACGCTTCATGACGGTTACGGATGCGCCTGTCGCAAGACGTACCGTCATCCTCGTAGGAGGTGTGTCACATTCACTGTAATTGAAGTGACCATCTTCTAGCGATTGGCGTCGCACAAAATTGTTGGACGCCCCACAATCGACTAGAGCTCGAAGGGACAACTTATTCGTCACTTCGAGTTTCAAGGTAATGAGTGAGATCTCATTACCTAGAGCAGCAACGCACAACGTTTTTGCGTTGGGAGCAACCTTCATCAAGAGGCCTACAAATTCTCTTGACGTTGCTGGACCAGTAGGGTGCTCCGCACCTACTGATCCTGTCCGTTTTTTGACGGTCCATCCCGTTGTTGCGTCTTTGCACCAACAGCGGACCCGCGTCCCTGCCCCTTTCTCATGGGTGGACGGTCACTACGCCCAGTGTTGCGAGACACTGAACGAGGGACACTACACTCGTAAGCGTAGTGTCCTGTCTTTTGACATCTGTTGCATTTCTGCAACTTCTTGTAGTCTGTAGAGCGAGCCTTCTCGCTCTCTACATAACAGAGTTCCATCGGCTCTGGACCTCCGTTGTCATATCGTCTCGGTTGACGATATGATGTCGAGCTGGCGCGAGCCTGTCTCAGACTGAAGTCTTCCTGTTCCGCAATGGAAATGGCTTGTTCTAGTGAATCTAGTTCAAGCCGGAACAGGTGAGTCTTGACGGGACCATCCGCAAGACCCTGCATGAACACCGAAACCAACGTGTGTTCATCCACCGGATTGGAATTTATACAACTCGTAAGATGTCGTATATGTTGCGCGTAAGCGTGCACATCACGCTTACCCTGTTTGAGCTTCAAGAGTTCGGTTCGAGCTCTGAACTCAGCTCTAGGCGGCTCAAACGTTTGTCTGAGCCGCGACTTGAAGACTTCTAACGACCCAAACGCATATGGGTCGTGCAACTTGAGCCCCAGTGCCCAAGTCTTGGCACGTCCTGCCAGATTTGACTGGGCAAATGCAACTTGCATTTCCCTATCGTCGATGCGACGCGCCCTTATGGCGTCATCCAATTCGACGAACCATCTCAAGAGGGAGTCCTCTTCGACTCCCCTATACTTGGAGATGTCAATCTTCAAGGTCTCGGGTCGACGCGAATGCATCGACCCACCAGCAGCACCTGCTGCTGTCTCAACAGTTCAAACTGTTGAGCACCCTGTTCTCTCAACAACTCTGCTTGTTGAGAACCTTGTTGGTGAAGCAAGGCTACTTTCTCGCGTTCAGCGTCAAGTTCATTTTGAATGAACTTGGCGATAGTAGCATGTTGGGCATCTCTATTGAGAGCCTCTAGCATGACGCTAACAGCATGGATGCCCATGGTTGAACCCATCCGTTCAACCGCATCCCATTCGACATCGCTCAAATGGGAGTAGCCGTCACGCGTAGCGTGAAAGCTTTGGTCATCTTCATCATCTAACATATTCATGTTAGATGTGAACGTGGTCCTTGGACGGACTACGAAGTGCTACCAGGTGTAACGGGGCACCCTGAAGCTTGTACTGATGACAGTACAAGCTACTTATTCTGATGACAGAATGAGGCGGTGCCTCGTGACTTCACGTACACTCGTACGTGCAGAGGAAGACGGTAAGAAGAAGCGAGTACTTGGTTAAAGTAAAAAGTAGAACTGTATTTATAATAGTTAATGTCTGCAATAAATCACTATTTATCTTCATCTAACTATGTCTAAATACAAATGTGTAAATCAACTATCTGCTCACCGCTCATTGCGTGCGTCTGTCGTGGCGCGTCTTTATGGGTTGATATAATGGCCTATATCAACCAATTAGGAACTACTCGTAAGTGCTACAGAATATTTGTCCTTATGCTAATATTCTGGGAATATAACTCTTATAGTTATATTCTATTAACAATTTCTTATAAATTGTTATGTAACGATTCACCCCGTTACATTAGGGATATTTTAGAAGTTGCAGGATCAGGTACGAAATCGTCAGCAAAAATCCTTTATGCAACAAACTTTCGATAACTTTTTGTATGGGACCCCGGCAGTACTTTAATATTTGTATGGCGGAAAACTCATCTAGCGTTAATAATAATGATCAGGAGAATTGTTTTTAAGTATTTGGTCTGGCCCAACATGGGACTCGACGATTTTATTACGTAGAAAAGATTATTAACTTAAAGAATAAAAATTACGGAGACTCTTTTGTAGCCATCATCGGTCTGAAAGAGGTAGCAGTACCGGAAAATTCTAATGGGTAGGTCATTCCGCAGTGCGGCTACTGAAAAACCGCAATTACAGTAAGTGTCGAAGTATCTTTGATATAAGTGCACGACACTTATGTGGTTGCGCACTTCAGCCGAATCTATAGCGTGCACAAAAACACAGGTCACGTGGACACGGTGAGAAGGGATATACCTCTTGAAGATGCCGACGTGGACCATCCCTGCTGATGTGCATCGCAGGCCTAAGTATAATATGCGATGTTTGCTCAATTGAACACGGGCATCGCGCAAACAACGGTATGGGTTGCAGATGAGCAATGTCCCGAGGCGACCATGATAATTAATGTATGTTTTCTCGTTTTTGAACGGTGCCGATCGTGGCATTCTCGGCCACAATCGGAACCATTCAAAAGCGAGTAAATGGCAGCTATGCACCGCTATTGTAAAGCCTCATTGCCTTGTAGACTACACTTGGCGCGGCTAGTACGTCTTGATGCAGGTACAACAGCCTGTTCCTCTTTGCTTGCCCACAGATGTTCACGGCTATGCCCCGATAAGTATGGTTCCTTGATCGAACAGTTAACGTGCACGGCCTTCCAACCCTAGAAGTAGATTTCTTCCGCCTTTTGGAGATGATTTCCGAATTATGAGTGACGCCTTCTTTTCGGCACGTTTTCCATGCACACTCGATACTCGAGCTGCCTTTCTATACGCAAAGCAAATCTATTTCGACGCGCACAGGCAAAAGTTATACCCCCGGCAGAAGATAGCGCTTTCACTTTGTTTTGTAAAATGTTCATTTTAAATCGCTACCCTACCGCAAAAGCCTCGTTCCTATTTTCACGACCGTCCCTTCTCCTACACTTCTAGCAAAATCCAGACTGTTTGCGATAGAAACGTCAGGAGCTGATCCTATCTGAGAAAAATAAGTCGCTTGCTGAACAGCTCAATATAATGGTCTCATCAGCATACAAAAGTATAAGACGAGCTCGTAAAAAGAGCACAGCACATCTTCAACCCGGCTCTTTTTCAAGACTCTTCGTTCGGCTCCCGGCGCCAGCTGGTAATCTTCTATACCGGTGTTCAATTTACTACACTATGGCTTAGCACCGTACCGGGTATTAACAAAGACCACAGAAAACGGTATACCGACCGCCACTGATTTGAACGAAGAGCCCCGTCGCATCCACGTGCGTGACGTCACAACCGCTGTCTCACGAAGAGCCCGTGACGCGCTCGCTCTTTCTATCGAATCGTCAAAAACGAGTGGCTAAAACTCGAACATCACTCGACTCCCTACTTTTCAGCCGCCACTTGGGTCTTTACGTCGTTGACGACAAATGGAGAGTATCAGCGCCTGCAGTTTCAACGCCCACCAGCAGCTCTGCTCCTTCATGTCGCTCCCTGCAGACGACGAGATGGCACAACTGATCCTTGAGGTGCGTTGCATCATCGCTTTCTGTGGTACTGTACTCCAGTTGAACTAACTGATGGTACCGTTGCAACTCTTGTCTGTCGTAGGAGCTGTCGTTCTCCAGACGTGCGTTCGTGGGCGTTGCGGCAGCGATAGCGAACTCGCCATCGAGCGAGTCGGCGTCTGGACTGAACTCGATCTGTGAAGACGGGGAAGAGGAGGAGGACGACGACTAGATGCAGCATCGTAATGGTGCGCTCGAGAGTGCAGACGAAACACTGCGAGAGACTCACGTGGAAGGGAGCGTCAACATCACGCAGCAGCTCTCCCCCCACGCCCCCTACGCATCTTCAGATTTCATCGTGTGCAGTGTCTCGAGTGTGATCAAGCACGTTCCCTGCAACATTGTGGTCATCGGCTTAGAGGACAGCAAATTGCAATACGATATTTATTAGCAACCTTTTGTTTGTCGTTTAGAATGTCCAGTTGTTAACGATGTGGCGATGGTACTTCCAGTGTCCTTGCTGCTTTATCCTGTTAACTGATGAAATTCACGTCATCGCGACAACGAAATGTTCGATCAGAATATACGCTCCGAGCAACGTAATTAGTCTCCTTGTTCATTGCAGTGTTTGTGGAACAAACCTGAAGCGCGTCTCGACGATGGAAGTAGTGCTGCATATACCAACCAACTGTGCGAATGGCTAGATGCATGAGCTACGCTATCTGTAGCTTACATCGTTGATGCCTGCGCCATGAGGTTTAGACCACACTAGCATCCCAAATCTCCTCAGGGCCTTACGACAAGCATTTGTTACGATGTCTGACCATTCGAGGTGTTTTCCGCAGTTCAAATAGCAGCTTCGGAACGAATCATCCTGCTAGAAGCATTGTTGCTCTGGATCCAGGCTGAAATGTCTGCGGGCATGGCCGGATTCGTCTCTTCGTCAGCCTCTAGAGCTGGAAGCTTGCTGACAATCTGCTCGGGGCTCAGTGCACCTACCACCGTGTTCTTTACGAGCACAATGGCGTTCACGAACCCATTCCTGCTCGCGTCTTTGGTCACGAAGCGCTGTTCGATATAGAAAGCACGCGCGTCCCAGCAAATGAGTCGCGACTGCATCGTGTAGACTTGGCCGAACGACAGCTCCCGCCGATACCGCACTGTCTGCGCGCCAACGACGAAATTGCTACCCGATTTGACCATAACGTCCCATACGCCATTGCGCTGGCACAAAGAGAAAAGAACACGTAGACAAAGAGCACGTCCGTGTCAATGCGATCATCACACTAGCATCAATCCAATTGGCTGTCGTACGTGCCACAGCTCGCGGCGTCCGAAACCGCACTCGCGCAAGACGCGCGCGTTATTGCAGTGTCCATTGCGATCAATGTCCGTAAGACCAACAAAGCCAGTGACGATGTTTGTAGCGAATAAGTGGCAACGAGGTCCACGCTTTGGTCCAAGTGGAAGCGACGTCATCCCTATCCGCAGAAAGTACCACATGTCGCAGAGAGCGAAACTGGAGAGTGCGCCTACCACGAGTGCGGTGACGCCGCTCAGTTTGTTTACGAAGTAGACCAGAGAAGACACTGCTGCAGGCAGCAGCACGAGCAGCACAAACGCCAGCACACTACGAGGCCGCAGCATGTGGACGCGAGCGATTGCGTGTCTGTAGCCATGTGTGTAGAATCACTTCAGTGTAGCCATAAATATTGCGACGACTCGAACGTAGCCATGTACGTTGCGACGAGTCAGGTGTAGCCATGTTCGTTTTGACCACTTCAGTGTAGCCATACATGGTGCTGACACCAAAGCGTAGCTATGGCCTGAAATAGACTGAGGGGGTCCGTTTTGCTGCTTGGCCATCGATTTGTATTGGCTAAAACTCGAGCTGGTTTACAAGCGTTCTCGACATTTGCGCATTCTTGGCACGACGATGGAGGCGCAGGCTCGAGCGTTGGAGGAGGAAGTGCAGCAGCTGGGCGCGCAGGAACCGACGAAACACACGGCAGTGATGAAGCAGAGACTGTACACTCGCGTGGGTCAGTTTCTCATGGGCAGTCTGAACATGCAGCACTGGTGGTGCGATCATTCGTCTCTCATGGTGTTCATGATGCGCGTGCTGGAGCTCTACCCGGCGTCCGAGAGCGTCTGTGCCTTTTACAAGAAGATGGAGCAGCAGCTGCGTCATTGTTGTCGATGGTAAAGAAGAAGAAGAAACTAGCAGCAACTTACGATGAAGTATGAACGAGTGGAAGTGGAAACTGAGACTAACATGTGTTCGCTTTCTGTCTCGTTCTCTTTGCGTATGCGTATGATTTGTCGTTGCCGCTGCTTTTATTGTGCTCGGTGTGTTTGTTTCCTTTCATGCCACGTGACTGTTTTTGCTGCTGTTTTTGTGCTGCAGCGTAGACACTTACCACGCAGCTCTACCGAGCGTCCGTGTGGAGCTGGAGTTCGAGTTCACGCCCGAATCGATCGCGTCTTTTTTCGTCAAATCACAAGCGCTAGATGCTGATCGGGTGCAGCGGCAGTTGGCGGACGCGTTCACGGGGCTGGTCAAGGCCTCGCCGGAAAAGCTGGAAATTATGGCAAACACGTTGTACGAAGTGCTTCATCACCGGCGTCTGCTGTCAGACTTCCGTATTGTACGAGTGTTGTCGAGGGTGAGCATGAATGGTTTCGTCGACTGTGTTACCTGCTATGGACTACACGCTAATTTCGTTGTCAGTGGGTCTGTTCTCCGTTCGCAGATGTGAAAGCAAATTCGTATCTGGGAAGCTTGCGTGGTTGCGCTGGGCTGTATCAGTTACTGGTATCGCCATACTCTGCACTTAGGTGCGCAGCTCGCTTTCTAGTTTCCTTTACTGTCCTGCGATTTTTGTTTTTGGGAAATGCATGGGCAGTGAGTGATAAACAATGATGTTTGCACTGCAGAGAGTGGGCCCAAAATATGGTGCAACACTTTGGCTCGATTCAGCTGCGTGGCGATCGCGTGGAAGACCGGTATTTACTCGAAGTGCTGGATGAGTGGATGTACGTACTGGAAAATGAAGCATTCAACAAATCTATGTTGTTGCTCGATTTTAAAACAAAAGAGGAGATTCAAGATGTGAGTGCCTTGCCTGGGGGCTGTTAACCCGTTTGGCTATCGTAGTCTTTCAATCACGATATTGATATCTGTTACCACCATACTTTGCAAAATGATTACAGTTCTTGGAGCCAACAAATTGCGTGAAGACTCCGACCAAGCCAATGTTGTGGTCTGCACTTGATACCGTAATGCAGGTATAAAAACCATGATGTTGCTCGTATGGAAAGGCGTTGTCGCATGGTTAACGTGGTCTGTACTGTTGGAATTGTTAGCAAATGGACCTTGACAGCTTAGAAGCGATGCTGGTTTCGTTTGATACGATCCCCGATGTAGTCTTTAACTATTTACAGGATGCAGACCCTGCAGGAGACCAGACGCTCACCTTGGTGGTACGCTGCCTCCCCCCCTTCCCCGAAACGCGTGGGCAGCTAACAACTAATCTCATTCTTCGTTGTTTGTTAGGTTTCCAAGTGTTTTGCAGTTCTCTTACGCTGTCTTGGGCACCGGTTCTGGGATCACAGCGTTAATTCGCCGAAAGTTGTGCTGGATGTAATAATGCAGCATTGCCGTCTCACCTCGTGGCGCGTGTATGTCACGAAACAGTTTATTGAGCTTCTGCCACCGCTTCTCGCGACTATACGACCGTCTCAAATCGTCAGCCAATCGGTTCGTATTGCATTGAGCTTGACATGTTTTTTGCATTAACTGAAGTGGTAAAAATATCTATCTACAGTCCAATCAAGAAAAATACGACGAGCTTGATTTTTATTTGGAGACACGCAAGAATATGGTGCAGTTCCTGATTGTCGAGGATCTTCGACCGAAGCATTACGATGCTGTTGCCGTGGTGGCGACATCAAGGGCAGCTTTTACAATTTTGCACGACTGTTACGAACACCGTATGCCTGGTACTGTTAAAAGCAATCAGGAGAGTGGGCGAGATGAAGGCGCGCTGTCCGAATCAATTTCTGTCGATTACTCGATTTCTGAAAGCGCTTTTTGGTGGCCATGCAGCTCTGAGTCTGGTGATGTTACAAACAGGATACTGGGAAAGCTATGGATGAACCATTTATTTGATATTGTTAT